TTACTGACAGAAACATGAGTTGCACCACCCCATCACACAAGCTCAGGTTCATGACTATTGAGCTAGATTCCTTTCCATCCAACTATTTTATGCACATTTTGAAAGATCACATATAAAACGCTTGATGAAAATGCTAAGATCTGCAAGAATTTTAAATTATGCATAAAAAATGTATGAGTAAGAAACCTTTAATCTGATAATAATAGATGCTCATGAACAGCTGTAGTGAGTGTGTGTGTGCGCCGGCACTACATCAGTGACTGCACTTTAGTGCTGTAGTTTCTGCCTATCAGATGATCTGACAGATATAAATGTGTGTGTGAGGGTCTTTGTGTCATTGTTGGTCTGCAGATATAAATGTGTGTGTGAGGGTCTGTGTCAGTAATGTTGGTCTGCAGATATAAATGTGTGTGTGAGGGTCTTTGTGTCAGTAATGTTGGTCTGCAGATATAAATGTGTGTGTGAGGGTCTTTGTGTCATTAATGTTGGTATGTAGATATAAATGTGTGTGTGAGGGTCTTTGTGTCATTAGTGTTGGTCTGCAGATATAAATGTGTGTGAGGGTCTTTGTGTCATTAATGTTGGTCTGCAGATATAAATGTGTGTGTGAGGGTCTTTTTGTCATTGTTGGTCTGCAGATATAAATGTGTGTGTGAGGGTCTTTTTGTCATTGTTGGTCTGCAGATATAAATGTGTGTGTGAGGGTCTTTTTGTCATTATTGTTGGTCTGCAGATAAAAATGTGTGTGAGGCTCTTTGTGTCAGTATTGTTGGTCTGAAGATATAAATGTGTGTGAGGGTCTTTGTGTCATTAATGTTGGTCTGCAGATATAAATGTGTGTGTGAGGGTCTTTGTGTCATTAATGCTGGTCTGCAGATATAAATGTGTGTGTGAGGGTCTTTGTGTCAGTAATGTTGGTCTGCAGATATAAATGTGTGTGTGAGGGTCTTTGTGTCAGTAATGTTGGTCTGCAGATATCAATGTGTGTGTGAGGGTCTTTGTGTCATTAATGTTGGTGTGCAGATGAAAATGTGTGTGTGAGGGTCTTTGTGTCATTAATGTTGGTCTGCAGATATAAATGTGTGTGAGGGTCTTTGTGTCCGTAATGTTGGTCTGCAGATATAAATGTGTGTGAGGGTCTTTGTGTCAGTATTGTTGGTCTGCAGATATAAATGTGTGTGTGAGGGTCTTTGTGTCATTAATGTTGGTCTGCAGATATAAATGTGTGTGTGAGGGTCTTTGTGTCATTAATGCTGGTCTGCAGATATAAATGTGTGTGTGAGGGTCTTTGTGTCATTAATGTTGGTCTGCAGATATAAATGTGTGTGTGAGGGTCTTTGTGTCATTAATGTTGGTCTGCAGATATAAATGTGTGTGTGAGGGTCTTTGTGTCATTAATGTTGGTCTGCAGATATAAATGTGTGTGTGAGGGTCTTTGTGTCAGTAATGTTGGTCTGCAGATATAAATGTGTGTGTGAGGGTCTTTGTGTCATTATTGCTGGTCTGCAGGTATAAATGTGTGTGTGAGGGTCTTTGTGTCATTAATGTTGGTCTGCAGATATAAATGTGTGTGTGAGGGTCTTTGTGTCATTAGTTTTGGTCTGCAGATATAAATGTGTGTGTGAGGGTCTTTGTGTCATTATTGCTGGTCTGCAGGTATGAATGTGTGTGTGAGGGTCTTTGTGTCATTAATGTTGGTCTGCAGATATAAATGTGTGTGTAAGGGTCTTTGTATCATTAGTGTTGGTCTGCAGATATAAATGTGTGTGTGAGGGTCTTTGTGTCATTAGTGTTGGTCTGCAGATATAAATGTGTGTGTGAGGGTCTTTGTGTCATTAGTGTTGGTCTGCAGATATAAATGTGTGTGTGAGGGTCTTTGTGTCAGTAATGTTGGTCTGCAGATATAAATGTGTGTGTGAGGGTCTTTGTGTCATTAGTGTTGGTCTGCAGATATAAATGTGTGTGTGAGGGTCTTTGTGTCAGTAATGTTGGTCTGCAGATATAAATGTGTGTGTGAGGGTCTTTGTGTCATTATTGCTGGTCTGCAGATATAAATGTGTGTGTGAGGGTCTTTGTGTCATTAATGTTGGTCTGCAGATATAAATGTGTGTGTGAGAGTCTTTGTGTCATTAGTGTTGGTCTGCAGATATAAATGTGTGTGTGAGGGTCTTTGTGTCATTAATGTTGGTCTGCAGATATAAATGTGTGTGTGAGGGTCTTTGTGTCATTATTGTTGGTCTGCAGATATAAATGTGTGTGTGAGGGTCTTTGTGTCAGTAATGTTGGTCTGCAGATATCAATGTGTGTGTGAGGGTCTTTGTGTCATTAATGTTGGTCTGCAGATATAAATGTGTGTGTGAGGGTCTTTGTGTCATTAGTGTTGGTCTGCAGATATAAATGTGTGTGTGAGGGTCTTTGTGTCAGTAATGTTGGTCTGCAGATATCAATGTGTGTGTGAGGGTCTTTGTGTCATTAATGTTGGTGTGCAGATATAAATGTGTGTGTGAGGGTCTTTGTGTCATTAATGTTGGTCTGCAGATATAAATGTGTGTGTGTGAGGGTCTTTGTGTCATTAATGTTGGTCTGCAGATATAAATGTGTGTGTGAGGGTCTTTGTGTCATTAGTGTTAGTCTGCAGATATCAATGTGTGTGTGAGGGTCTTTGTGTCAGTAATGTTGGTGTGCAGATATAAATGTGTGTGTGAGGGTCTTTGTGTCATTATTGCTGGTCTGCAGGTATAAATGTGTGTGTGTGAGGGTCTTTGTGTCATTAATGTTGGTCTGCAGATATAAATGTGTGTGTGAGGGTCTTTGTGTCATTAGTGTTAGTCTGCAGATATAAATGTGTGTGTGAGGGTCTTTGTGTCATTATTGCTGGTCTACAGGTATAAATGTGTGTGTGAGGGTCTTTGTGTCATTAATGTTGGTCTGCAGATATAAATGTGTGTGTGAGGGTCTTTGTGTCAGTAATGTTGGTCTGCAGATATAAATGTGTGTGTGAGGGTCTTTGTGTCATTAGTGTTGGTCTGCAGGTATAAATGTGTGTGTGAGGGTCTTTGTGTCATTATTGTTGGTCTGCAGATATAAATGTGTGTGTGAGGGTCTTTGTGTCATTAATGTTGGTCTGCAGATATAAATGTGTGTGTGAGGGTCTTTGCGTCATTAATGTTAGTCTGCAGATATAAATGTGTGTGTGAGGGTCTTTGTGTCATTGTTGGTCTGCAGATATAAATGTGTGTGTGAGGGTCTTTGTGTCAGTAATGTTGGTCTGCAGATCTCCATTGTGTCAGATGTGAGATGTTGTTGTGCTGATTGTAAAAGGCCTCAGTCCTCTTTCAGTTCGTCATCACAGTGCTTCAGTATTCTTCTTCTTCTATTGTTATTCCCTCCAAAACTGTCTTGAGCATCTGTCTGTTCTCCCGTCTCACACCTTCAAAAGCCACATAATTCATTGCATAAATATTATTCTCATATTTAGCTGTAAGCATATCTACTGTAGAAGGTTTAAACACATGCTCTGTCTTACAGTTAATATGCTATCTTCTGAAAACATCAAATAAGCATAAACTGCAGATTTATTTGTGTGCACTGTTGTGTTTGGCTTGGTCTGATCTGTGGCGAATCTGCATGCTAATGACATGAGTTTAGTGTGTGTGTGTGTGTGTGTGTGTGTGTATGTGTATGCTGCTCAACACACTGCTGAAGGCTGTATTGACGAGTGTATTGATGTATCCGCAGCCTCTCTCAGTCATCGCTCTGTCTAAACAATGCTCCATTTAATTGTCTGTTAAATGAATGTGACTCCACGGTGAACCGAGAGACAGGAGCTGTGTTTCAGGTGTCCAGGTCTGGGTTTCAGTCTTCAGAAGTGTTATTGATTCAGTTGCTGGCTTTTGCTAATCAATACAGTTCTGGACCTAAAGAGACTGGAGTGACCTCTTTAATGGTAGAGTTCCAGCAAACATGATCGTTCTGTCATCATTTCAAGCCTGAATGCCTCTCTTTCACATGTGAAATACAAAAGAAGACACTCTGCAGCGCTTTTGTCCATACTGGGAAAATCAATGGACTCCAGTGTAGTAAAGTCCACAACATTTCTCCAGCTTTCCTGTGTTGTGTAGGTCAGTCATACAGGTGTGAATCAGAGAATCATCATGCTGTGTTGATCTCAGACACACAAGATTGTGTTTGATGATAAAGTATGTAATAATAAAATATGCATCTTCACTTTACTTCTCTTTTCCACACCTGATGTCCTCTATATGCTTTTAAAATGCTGGGTTGTAACACAATGTTGAGTCAATCTCTGACAAACACAATTTTGGGATAATTTTTTCATTATTTGTAACTGGTCCAGTTCAGATTTACTGGCTGCTGAATTTGCTTCCTGCAATCTTTCCATTTCCTCAAGAAACTCCACATTTTTTCACCATGATCAATTGGAATAATCAGAGCTGATAAGTTGATGATCGAGCAATGTCCTCAGTGCCTCCCATGTCATCTGATATTTTCTTCAACTTAATGTTATTATTTGCTATATCTTGTGCACCTCGTCACATGACTCTCTTCAATGACATTTAAATGCTACAATTTACCCCAAGAGTTGGTTTGTTCATGTGTGACCCAATGCTGGATTACAAGAACACAGCGTGTAGATAACTATGAATATATCCAGCAATTTGCACATTTACCTTCAGTTGTTGTAACCCAACATTAAATCAAATATAAACAAACCTAACCATTGGGTAATTTTCACAATTACATTTAAATTACTTTTATTAACCCCATAGTTGACCCAACACTTGGTTTCAGTGACCCAGAGTGCAGTTTACATCTTTACCTTGAGTCTTCCTCTCCTTCCTCATGTTGAGCTCCTGTACATGCAGGGCCTTGCAGGCGTATAGTTTAATCTGCAGGCAAACTCCGGATCACACAGAGGCAGCTGTAGTCCGACACCATAAACAACAAACTCCAATGAGGAATCGATTTATGGAACTGAAGTTCTGCCCCACATCCAGTCCATCATGTGGCATCACGATCAATGCTCTGCTCTAAACAGCAACTGACCTGGAAAGCCGAGCAGAACTCCGTCAGCGCTCATACTGAGGTCGGTTCATCATAACTCCACCAGGAACAACTGCATTGTGGAGAAAACTTGCATCAGTATGTCTGAGCATCAGCAAGTGTTTTTTAGAGCATTTCAGAAGATCTGTACCTGCATTTAAGCTGTGGAACTCTGGCCAGCCCAGCTCATCATGGTCCAGTTTTTCAGCAGCAGAGGCAAAAATGCAGAACGGCTCAACCAAAACAGGACGAGGGGTTACTGTCAACGGGACGGTCTCCACCCTGAAGAGGCAACCGAAGATGGTGTCCAGCAGGCAGGAGCGTGGTTCATGTTCATCCACGGTTTCTTGTCCAGTCTTCTCAGGATCCCAGAGCGATTTAGACGAAGAGCCGGCGCCACGCTGTCCGTCCAGCTGTTCCACACCCACCCTGCACAGGCCTGGATCCACCGCCAGTCTAAAGGCCTCCACCTCCAGCCTGCAAAGAAACGCAAAGGGTTCACTGACCAGCCTCAAGAGTTTCCCGAGCTCCACAGCACTCCAGAGTTCCAGCTTCAGCATCCACAGCTCCAGCCCCAGCCTAAGGAGCTCCAACCCCATCATCCGGAACTCCAATCCCAGCCTCCAGAGCTTCAATCCCAGCCTCCGGAGCTCCAACGCCAGCATCCGGAACTCCAATCCCAGCATCAGGAGCTCTAACCCCAGCCTCCACAGCTCCAATCCCAGCATCCACAGCTCCAACCCCAGCCTGCGAAGCTCCAACCCCAGCCTGCGGAGCTCCAGCCCCAGCCTTCACAGCTCCAGCATCAGCTCCAGTGAGGACGACAGCTGGGACACCAATAGCTGGAGCTCCGGCGCCACCTGTCTTCTGCGCAGCTCCATCAAGCAGCACAGTCAGGAGGTGTTCCGGGTAGGCTTTGGCTCGGATTCCGAGGCTGTCTTCCAGAACTCTGACAGCGGCCCGGGCAGTGTGTCAGGGTCGGAGCAACGTGAGCCAGCAGATCCAGCCCATGTAAACCGCAGGGACTCTGTATCCTCTGCTGCTTCAACTGTGTCCACCGACCTGGAGCAGGAGATTGAAGAAAAGCTCAAGTTTTCTCAGTTTCTGGATGAGGTGACGTGTCGGGTGCTCAATCCCGCGTGTTTGCAAGCATTTGGTGCACCCATTCGTCCATCCATGACTTCATCTCTCCAGTCATTATCCGGTCCTTGGTTTGGTTCCAGAGAAAGTCAAAAACCAGTTTCTATGAGTAAATGGAGCAAGTGCATGCCGAGCTGCAAGATTCTGGATGCCAGCGAGAGTTTGAGGAGAACACAAGAGCAGTCGTCTTTAGGAAGAACCTACTTAGAGACTGATATAGACCGAGTGCGGCGGGAGGATGAGGAAAGTGTGGAGAAGTGGTCTGGCGAATCTTCACGAAGATGCCCGAGTCCTGCTTCCAAGCGTTCGGACGGAGCTCCGCTTCCACCGTACCGGTCCACTTCACTCCCGAGACCTACTATGAGCAGCACCACGGTGAGTCTCTGAGAAATACAGCCTTCAGTTCTCTTGAGGTGATTGAATCTTTGATAAATACACTAATGGTTCATTCATTGCTCTTTGTTAAAGGGACAGCTTACGCCAAACTGAACTTCTGCAATCATTATCTCCTCCTCCGCTGGTTCCAAATCTGTTTTGTTCTTCGGTTGAACACAAAGGAACATATAAAATGGCCATTGACTCCTTTAATGTTCCAGCTGTAGATGTCAATGGCTGCTGTTTATCCTGCATTCTTCAATATACCTTCCTTTGTGTTCAACAGATGATAGCCCTCATAGTGTGTTCGTAAATGGTGATCTGTCCCTTTAACCTGCTGAAGGTCCTGGTTTGGGTATATATTTCAGCAGTATGTCAGTACGTCATCATGCTTATGAGAAGTCCAGTATATCATCACCCTGTAAAACAATGTGGAAAGCATCTTATCCAGCTTTATATTTGAGGTCACAGGAGTAATCGTGCCCATCGCCGCACACTGACAGCTCTTATTAAAAATACATCAGCGTTTCCTATTATTCACAGCCAAGCCGCCGCTGTCTGGACACACTCCTCTCATCCGCCGGGAGCAGCAGACGCATTAATAATGCATTTGATCTTTTCGTATGGAATCGCTCCTTCCCAAATGCCAATCATAAAGGCTGCGTGCAGTGCTGAAACAATGGAAATGACACACACCACGGATTGAGACAGTGCCGTAGCAGCTGTTTGTGTGTGTGTCTGAATAGAAGAATTCATTATAATCTCCTGTTGAATTTCAGCAGAGAGAGTCTGGCTTTATTTGGCTCTTATCAGACCGTCTGGGTAACAATGTGTGTGACAAGAATTTGACACTAAACGTATTGAGAAACAGTGTGACGAGCGATGGGCTCCCAGCTCTTCAGAATCGTGGATTGTTGCCACTTGAGGTGCTCGAGGTGTGAATGCTATGAAACTGCCGTGTGTGTGTTGTGTGAGCGTGTGTGTGTTTCCCAACATCACCAGTGTGTTTAGCACCATTTTCAAATTATTATTGATATCTATGGCCCAGTGATAAGTCTGCGTGAACTGGAAGTTGCTGTGACTTTTATTTCAGCATGTTGATAGATTTCAGTTGAAACTAAATATTGAGTAGGGGGCGGGGCTATGGAAACCCTCAGGCTAACATCAACAGATGGAGGCACTCCAAACATGGAAGCAAATGCTCAGGATTTTGATTGATTTTTTTGTGGATTAAACTGCACAGATTAATTATTCTTATTAATAGCTAGCAAAATAAACATTATAGATTTAGATTTCAAACTGACTTTAACTTACTTTTTAGATTCTTTTTAAGAGCAGCTCTTGAAGAGATGTAGATGGTGCCAAACAGTCTAAAACAGCTGATGGAGTATACACTAACCTGTCCATTATTCAGACACTAGATGGAGACAGTCAGAAACAGCTGATGGAGTATACACTAACCTGCGCATTATTCAGACACTAGATGAAGACAGTCAGAATCAGCGTATGGAGTATACACTAACCTGTGCATTATTCAGACACTAGATGGAGACAGTCAGAAACAGCAGATGGAGTATACACTAACCTGTGCATTATTCAGACACTAGATGGAGACAGTCTTAATCAACTGATGGAGTATACACTAACCTGCACATTATTCAGACACTAGATGGAGACAGTCAGAAAATGCTGATGGAGTATACACTAACCTGCGCATTATTCAGACACTAGATGCAGACAGTAAGAAAATGCTGATGGAGTATACACTAACCTGCACATTATTCAGACACTAGATGGATACAGTCAGAAACAGCTGATGGAGTATACACTAACCTGCTCATTATTCAGACACCAGATGCAGACAGTCTTAATGAGCTGATGGAGTATACACTAACCTGCGCATTATTCAGACACTACATGGGGACAGTCAGAAACAGCTGATGGAGTATACACTAACCTGCACATTATTCAGACACTACATGGGGACAGTCAGAAACAGCTGATGGAGTATACACTAACCTGCACATTATTCAGACACTAGATGGAGACACACAGTCAGAAACAGCTGATGGAGTATACACTAACCTGCGCATTATTCAGACACTAGATGGAGACAGTCTAAATCAGCTGATGGAGTATACACTAACCTGCACATTATTCAGACACTAGATGGAGACAGTCAGAAACAGCTGATGGAGTATACACTAACCTGCGCATTATTCAGACACTAGATGGAGACAGTCAGAAACAGCTGATGGAGTATACACTAACCTGCACATTATTCAGACACTAGATGGAGACAGTCAGAAACAGCTGATGGAGTATACACTAACCTGCTCATTATTCAGACACTAGATGGAGACAGTCAGAAACAGCTGATGGAGTATACACTAACCTGCTCATTATTCAGACACTAGATGGAGACAGTCAGAAACAGCTGATGGAGTATACACTAACCTGCGCATTATTCAGACACTAGATGGAGACAGTCAGAAACAGCTGATGGAGTATACACTAACCTGCGCATTATTCAGACACTAGATGAAGACAGTCAGAATCAGCGTATGGAGTATACACTAACCTGTGCATTATTCAGACACTAGATGGAGACAGTCAGAAACAGCTGATGGAGTATACACTAACCTGCGCATTATTCAGACACTAGATGAAGACAGTCAGAATCAGCGTATGGAGTATACACTAACCTGTGCATTATTCAGACACTAGATGGAGACAGTCAGAAACAGCAGATGGAGTATACACTAACCTGTGCATTATTCAGACACTAGATGGAGACAGTCAGAAACAGCAGATGGAGTATACACTAACCTGTGCATTATTCAGACACTAGATGGAGACAGTCTTAATCAACTGATGGAGTATACACTAACCTGCACATTATTCAGACACTAGATGCAGACAGTCAGAAACAGCTGATGGAGTATACACTAACCTGCGCATTATTCAGACACTAGATGCAGACAGTAAGAAAATGCTGATGGAGTATACACTAACCTGCTCATTATTCAGACACTAGATGCAGACAGTCTTAATGAGCTGATGGAGTATACACTAACCTGCTCATTATTCAGACACCAGATGCAGACAGTCTTAATGAGCTGATGGAGTATACACTAACCTGCTCATTATTCAGACACCAGATGCAGACAGTCTTAATGAGCTGATGGAGTATACACTAACCTGCGCATTATTCAGACACTACATGGGGACAGTCAGAAACAGCTGATGGAGTATACACTAACCTGCACATTATTCAGACACTACATGGGGACAGTCAGAAACAGCTGATGGAGTATACACTAACCTGCACATTATTCAGACACTAGATGGAGACACACAGTCAGAAACAGCTGATGGAGTATACACTAACCTGCACATTATTCAGACACTAGATGGAGACAGTCAGAAACAGCTGATGGAGTATACACTAACCTGTGCATTATTCAGACACTAGATGGAGACAGTCAGAAACAGCTGATGGAGTATACACTAACCTGCTCATTATTCAGTCACTAGATGGAGACAGACAGTCAGAAACAGCTGATGGAGTATACACTAACCTGCACATTATTCAGACACTAGATGGAGACAGTCAGAAACAGCTGATGGAGTATACACTAACCTGTGCATTATTCAGACACTAGATGGAGACAGTCAGAAACAGCTGATGGAGTATACACTAACCTGCGCATTATTCAGACACTAGATGGAGACAGTCTAAATCAGCTGATGGAGTATACACTAATCTGCGCATTATTCAGACACTAGATGGAGACAAACAGTCAGAAACAGCTGATGGAGTATACACTAACCTGCGCATTATTCAGACACTATATGGAGACAGTCAGAAACAGCTGATGGAGTATACACTAACCTGTGCATTATTCAGACACTAGATGCAGACAGTCTAAATCAGCTGATGGAGTATACACTAACCTGCGCATTATTCAGATACTAGATGCAGACAGTCTAAATCAGCTGATGGAGTATACACTAACCTGCGCATTATTCAGACACTAGATGCAGACAGTCAGAAACAGCTGATGGAGTATACACTAACCTGCGCATTATTCAGACACTAGATGGAGACAAACAGTCAAACATGACAGACAAGCATATAAATATATATGTGAATGATTCACTGATGATTAAGGTGATTCTCAGTCCCGGTTATTTAGCAGTTGTTATCAGGGATTAACAGACCTTGTATTGCCATGACTGACCAATCAGAATCAAGCATTCCAGACTGCTGTGTAACATCTGCTATGATGCAGAAATGCAAACGAATTCTTTTAATAAATTATGCAGATATGTAAATGAATCTGAGAGAGTGTTTATTATACAGGTCATGTGTCTGTTCTTGTTACTTGCCCTTTAAATAAGCATCAATTGCTTATTTAAAGCTCGTGAGGGTGTTGTGATGTGCTGATGACAGCTGTCAATCACGTGAGTAACGCAGTGTTTTCCTCTGCAGGATGGAGAGTCGCGTGGCGGCAGGTAAAGATGTTATTCCTCTTCTATTCTGCTCGTCTTCCTCCTCCTCCTCCTCCTCCTGTTCCTCTGTATCGCCTCAGTCTGAGCTCAGGCTGTTCTGTGTGAATGTACGGTGTGTTTACAGGCAGAACACACACACATGCAGGCACGCACGAACACACACTGATCATGACACGCTCGTCGCGGGTGGTGAGTAGCTGCATGTTTAATCTCTGGGCTGTTTCTGTGTCTGCTACACATGCTTTTCCTCTGGGTGCCACAGCTCTGGGGGATCCTGGGTTTCTGCATGGAGATCCAGAAACACGATGACGCCTCAGAGCTCAGGAACTTTGCGCTGGTCTGTGGTTTACTGCTGCTTTATTTATGCATTGTGAGGAAGTTTTTCCCTCTCTGATGTTGTTGATGAATGAGCTGTGATTTAAGATCTTTTGCTGAGCATCCAGTGTGTCACACAGATAACAGTGTGGAGTTTAGCAGCTGCACCGGGACCAATGAGAACTGCAGAGGCTAATGCAGAACGACAGACAGACAACTGACAAAGAACAGACAGACAGAACGACAGACAGACAGACAAAAACAGACAGACTGAAAATGAACAGGCAGAAAGACAGAAAACAGAGAGACAGAAAACTGAAAGACAAACAAACAGACAGACAGAAAAGCAGACAGACAGACAAAAGACAGATAGGCAGACAGAAAACTGACAGAAAACAGACAATAGACAGACAGAAAACCCATGAACGACAGACAGAAAACTGACAGACAGATAGACCGACACGCAAACAGAAAATAGACAAACAGAACGACAGACAGACAGAAATCAGACAACAGAGAGACAGACAGAAAACAGACTAAAAACAGACAAATAACTAATGAATAACAGACAGACAAAAAAACTGGCAGACAGACAGGTAGACAGATACACACAGACAGAAATCAGACAACAGAGAGACAGACAGAAAACAGACTAAAAACAGACAAATAACTAATGGATAACAGACAGACAAAAAACTGGCAGACAGACAGGTAGACAGATACACACAGACAGAAAATAGACAGAACAACAAACAGACAGACACGCACATACAGAAAATAGACAGACAGATATAAAAACACAAAAAAACAAACAGACAGACAGACAGATAAATCAGACAGACTGACAGACAGACAAAAAAACAGACAGACAGACAGACAACAGAGACAAACATACAGAAAGACAGACATACAAACAGAATACAGACACATAGAAAATGGACAGACGACAGACAAAAGAAAAGATGGACATAAAAAATAAAACACCGACGGACAGAAAATGGACAGAAAGGAAATATAACTTTAGCAGAAAGATTAGGTGTGGCATATTGAGTAGCCCCTCCCACCTGTTTAAATAGCCAATGGTGTTTGCTCATATTAAAACATCTGAAGATGACAATCAAATTTATACAACTTTAAAGCAAACACAATGAACGCAGTGGCTTATGGAGGTGTGATACAGGAGCACAGATGCTCAAGACAGTTCTGGAGGAAATAATAATAGAAGAAGAAGAATACTGAAGCACTGTGATGATGGACTGATGGAGGACTGAGGCCTTTTACAATCAGCACAACAACATCTCACATCAGACACACTGAAGATCTGCAGACCAACATTACTGACACAAAGACCCTCACACACACATTTATATCTGCAGACCAACACTAATGACACAAAGACCCTCACACACACATTTATATCTGCAGACCAACATTACTGACACAAAGACCCTCACACACACATTTATATCTGCAGACCAACATTAATGACACAAAGACCCGCAAACACACATTTATATCTGCAGACCAACATTACTGACACAAAGACCCTCACACACACATTTATATCTGCAGACCAACACTAATGACACAAAGACCCTCACACACACATTTATATCTGCAGACCAACATTAATGACACAAAGACCCTAACACACACATTTATATCTGCAGACCAACACTAATGACACAAAGACCCTCACACACACATTTATATCTGCAGACCAACATTAATGACACAAAGACCCTAACACACACATTTATATCTGCAGACCAACACTAATGACACAAAGACCCTCACACACACATTTATATCTGCAGACCAACATTACTGACACAAAGACCCTAACACACACATTTATATCTGCAGACCAACACTAATGACACAAAGACCCTCACACACACATTTATATCTGCAGACCAACATTACTGACACAAAGACCCTCACACACACATTTATATCTGCAGACCAACATTACTGACACAAAGACCCTCACACACACATTTATATCTGCAGACCAACATTACTGATACAAAGACCCTCACACACACATTTATATCTGCAGACCAACATTACTGACACAAACACCCTCACACACACATTTATATCTGCAAACCAACATTACTGACACAAAGACCCTCACACACACATTTATATCTGCAGACCAACATTACTGACACAAAGACCCTCACACACACATTTATATCTGCAGACCAACATTACTGATACAAAGACCCTCACACACACATTTATATCTGCAGACCAACATTACTGACACAAAGACCCTCACACACACATTTATATCTGCAGACCAACATTACTGACACAAAGACCCTCACACACACATTTATATCTGCAGACCAACATTAATGACACAAAGACCCTCACACACACATTTATATCTGCAGACCAACATTACTGACACAAAGACCCTCACACACACATTTATATCTGCAGACCAACATTACTGATACAAAGACCCTCACACACACATTTATATCTGCAGACCAACATTACTGATACAAAGACCCTCACACACACATTTATATCTGCAGACCAACGTTACTGACACAAAGACCCTCACACACACATTTATATCTGCAGACCAACAATGACACAAAGACCCTCACACACACATTTATATCTGCAGACCAACATTACTGACACAAAGACCCTCTCACACACATTTATATCTGCAGACCAACATTAATGACACAAAGACCCTCACACACACATTTTTATCTGCACACCAACATTAATGACACAAAGACCCTCACACACACATTGATATCTGCAGACCAACATTACTGACACAAAGACCCTCACACACACATTTATATCTGCAGACCAACATTACTGACACAAAGACCCTCACACACACATTTATATCTGCAGACCAGCATTAATGACACAAAGACCCTCACACACACATTTATATCTGCAGACCAACATTAATGACACAAAGACCCTAACACACACATTTATATCTGCAGACCAACACTAATGACACAAAGACCCTCACACACACATTTATATCTGCAGACCAACATTACTGACACAAAGACCCTCACACACACATTTATATCTGCAGACCAACATTACTGACACAAAGACCCTAACACACACATTTATATCTGCAGACCAACACTAATGACACAAAGACCCTCACACACACATTTATATCTGCACACCAACATTAATGACACAAAGACCCTCACACACACATTTATATCTGCAGACCAACACTACTGACACAAAGACCCTCACACACACATTTATATCTGCAGACCAACAATAATGGCACAAAGACCCTCACACACACATTTATATCTGCAGACCAACATTAATGACACAAAGACCCTCACACACACATTTATATCTGCAGACCAACATTAATGACACAAAGACCCTCACACACACATTTATATCTGCAGACCAACACTAATGACAAAAAGACCCTCACACACACATTTATATCTGCAGACCAACATTACTGACACAAAGACCCTAACACACACATTTATATCTGCAGACCAACATTACTGACACAAAGACCCTCATACACACATTTATATCTGCAGACCAACATTACTGACACAAAGACCCTCACACACACATTTATATCTGCAGACCAACATTAATGACACAAAGACCCTCACACACACATTTATATCTGCAGACCAACATTACTGACACAAAGACCCTCACACACACATTTATATCTGCAGACCAACAATAATGACACAAAGACCCTCACACACACATTTATATCTGCAGACCAACAATAATGGCACAAAGACCCTCACACACATTTATATCTGCAGACCAACATTACCGATACAAAGACCCTCACACACACATTTATATCTGCAGACCAACAATAATGACACAAAGACCCTCACACACACATTTATATGTGCAGACCAACAATAATGACACAAAGACCCTCACACACATTTATATCTGCAGACCAACATTACTGACACAAAGACCCTCACACACACATTTATATCTGCAGACCAACATTACTGACACAAAGACCCTCACACACACATTTATATCTGCAGACCAACATTAATGACACAAAGACCCTCACACACACATTTATATCTGCAGACCAACATTACTGACACAAAGACCCTCACACACACATTTATATCTGCAGACCAACATTAATGACACAAAGACCCTCACACACATTTATATCTGCAGACCAACATTAATGACACAAAGACCCTCACACACACATTTATATCTGCAGACCAACATTAATGACACAAAGACCCTCACACACACATTTATATCTGCAGACCAACATTACTGACACAAAGACCCTCACACACACATTTATATCTGCAGACCAACATTAATGACGCAAAGACCCTCACACACACATTTATATCTGCAGACCAACATTACTGACACAAAGACCCTCACACACACATTTATATCTGCAGACCAACATTACTGACACAAAGACCCTAACACACACATTTATATCTGCAGACCAACATTACTGACACAAAGACCCTCACACACACATTTATATCTGCAGACCAACATTACTGACACAAAGGCCCTCACACACACATTTATATCTGCAGACCAACATTAATGACACAAAGACCCTCACACACACATTTATATCTGCAGACCAACATTACTGACACAAAGACCCTCACACACACATTTATATCTGCAGACCAACATTACTGACACAAAGACCCTCACACACACATTTATATCTGCAGACCAACATTACTGACACAAAGACCCTCACACACACATTTATATCTGATCATCAGACACTACAGCACTGAAGCGCTGATACTTTACTCACTACAACTGATTATTTATCTGCAGTTTTATTATCAGATTAAAAGTTGATCCTGCTCAGTTTTTATACACATTTTCAAAGTGTGTGCAGATCTTGGTGTTTCCATTAAGCATTTGTTATACAACATTCCTAAATGTGCATAAAATATAGTGAGTGAAAACAGCATGAAAGCATTGCTGGATTCCTCACCATATCAAATGCACTTTAAAATGCAGCATTGTGTCATTGAAATAGATCTGATATTATGGTCTGTCTCGCATAGGATCCATTCTGTGCTGCTGTGAGTGGACTGTTTGTGTTTGTGTGTGTGTGTGTGTGTGTGTGTGTGTGTGTGTGTGTGTGTGTGTGTGTATTTCACATCACACTAATGTGGAACCGGACTTCATTCACCCAAAAGATAATCATATTCTCTGAGTCATTTAAAAGCATATAAAGCTGTGAATTGTGTAGTTGTGAAAGCCCCGGTGGGCTGTTTGCTGACAGTGCGATGCATCCCCCCCGCAGAGCTTTCCTTAATGATTTTTACCCACGGAGGGGTTCAGATCAACACTGCGCACTGCTCATATTTATTTTCTTATACACTGCAATAAATGCTTTTCTCTAGTTTCTAGCCCAAATATCTGAATATTCCTGAAAAAATGAAGAGAGTTTATCCTTAAAACAAGTTACATAATCTGACAATGTGGGAAAAGAATAATTAAAAAAATATATTTTGCTTATTCCATTGGCAGATTATTGTGCTTGTTTAAAAAAAAATCTTTTTATATATATATATATATATATATATATATATATATATATATATATATATATATATCTAGATATATATGATATATATACACATCACATGGCAGACAGCTCTATACATTTAGGCATGTCGACATGGTCAAAACGATCTGCTGCAGTTCAAAGCGAGCATCAGAATGACAAGTTTTTATAATCGTCAGCATTTGGTCCACATCTATCTGCTATGACTGACTGTATGGACAGGAGACTAGCGCTGATGTTTAGACCATATGACTTGATTTTGAACCTGATTCTGGTTCTGTGTTTTGAGTTTGAGTGAGTATCCAGCGTTTTGAAATGTAGAGTTTGTATTTCTTCATTTAACTGTGGTGTTGGCCAGATCATTTACTATTTGGCTAATTGTGTAACGTCTGTTACTGTGTTGAGAGTTAAGGGCTCCTATGATTAACTTTAGTGAGCTGTTTGGACAGCACTGTGTGTAGTGTAGAGTGTCTAAAGTCATATTAGACTGATCTGTGTGTGTGTGTGTGTGTCTGTGTGTACTCAGACCTGCAGTGAAGGCTGGTGTTCAGGCGGAGGTCTCGATCCTGTCGGTTCTGCTTGATTGTGTCCGTCAGCAGGGATTTCCCATCATGCAGCATGTGTGTGTGTGTCTGACGTCTGTGAGGGAATCAGAGTTTCACAGCTGTTGCGGAAACAGAAGCACAGATCTGAACTGTGTGAAACAGTTTCTCTGAAACAGAGAAAGAGGATCAGTGTGTTATCTGTATCTGCAGTGCTCTGGAATGCTTCTTCTGAGTTGTCCAGGAAAAACAACTTGTGCTACACTGTAAAGAAATTTGTAATTTTATGGTGTATTTCCGGCAGCTGGGAAAATTTTATGTAAAATAATGGCTGTTAAATTACAGAAATTTAACATAAAATAACAGATATTAAATTACAGAAATTACTGTAAAATTACGGACATTAAATCACAGAAATTTAATATAAAATAAGATATTACAGAAATTTCTTTACATTTCTGTAATTTAAGGCTGTTACTCTACACTTTTTTTCTGACACCCATGCGCTGGAAATAAACCGTATAATTACAGATTTTGTTTTACAGTGTACAGTAAAGTGTTTTGACAACACAGTTTATATTAAGTGTATATACAGTTGAAGTCAGAATTATTAGCCACCCTTAATTATTAGACCGCTTGTTTATTTTTTTCCCAATTTCTGTTTAACCGAGATATTTTTTCAACACATTACTAAACATAACAGTGTTAATAACTCATCTCTAATAACTGATTTATTTTCTGTTCATCATGATGACAGTAAATAATATTAGACTAGATATTCTTCAAGACACTTCTATACAGCTTGAAGTGACATTTAAAGGCTTCACTAGGGTAATTAGGGTAATTAGGCAAGTTATTGTTTAACGATGGTTTGTTCTGTAGATTATCGAGAAAAAAATATAGCTTAAAGGGGCTAAAATATTGTCCCTAAAATGGTTCATAAAAAATTCAATTATTCTAGCCGGAATAAAACAAATAAGACTTTCTCCAGAAGAACAGATATTATCAGACACACTGTGAAAATGTTCCTGCTCTGTTAAACATTATTTGGAAAATATTTTAAAAAGAAGAAAAAAAAATCGAAGGGGGCGAATAAATCTGACTTCAACTGTATTAGTGCTTTGGTGGAGATTAATCACATTCAAAACTATGATTGTTTTGTGTA